GGGCTGCCGTGAGGGCTCCTCACTCCAGGCCGCGGCTACACCGGTGGGCTGCGGGCCCGGGACCCGCTCGTCGGGCCGGCCCTGCCTCGTGTCCCGGCCCGGCCCGGGCCGAGGGCACCGCACGGGACTGGGAGAAGGCTCGGACCAGCCAGACGGGGAGAACCATCCCCGCCTTAGCTGGGAATCATAGAATAGTTAAGGAGCTGGAAAGGACCTTGAAGATCATCTCATCCCAGGTCCCCCCTGCTCCAGGCAGGGACACCTTCCACTATCCCAGGTTGCTCCAAGCTCCATCCAGCCTTGCCTTGGACATTCCCAGGGATGGGCTGCCACAGTTTCTCTGGGCAGCCTGTTTCCATCACTCACCACCCTCACAATAAAGAACTTTTCCATATAACCTAAAATTTCCTTCCTTCGATTTGTGCCTATTACTCCTTATCCTGTCATTACAGGTCTTGGTGAGGAGTCCCTCTCTGGCTTCCTTGTCCCTTCAAACACTGAAAGGGTGCAATGAGTTTTCTACTCAATCTTTTCTTTGCCAGAGCAGCCCCAGCTCTCTCAGTCTGTCTTCATAGGGAAATCTTCCTCTTACCAACTTTGTGGCTTCCTCTGGACTTGCTCCAGCAGTTCCATATTATTCTTATGTTGGAGACATGGTAGAGGGAAGGAATCACCTTTGACCTGCTGGCCATGCTCCTTTGGATGCATCCCAAGATCCTGTTGGTTTCTCTCTGCTTCACGGCTCTCTAGCAGAGCCAGCAACTCCCCTGCTCTCCCCTCCCTCCAGGGAAGAGGAAAGAACTGGTTTGGAGGTTATTTTTACTGCAAAGTAAGGAATAATTCCTGATCACTGTATGACTTGGTGTTTGCTGGAATTACCTCAACACCAGGAACCTGCAGCCATCACAAGAACAGCTGAGATTCCTTTCAGGAGGGGTGTGGGTCCACCTCTGGTTTTTTGGGGTTTTTTTTGGTTTTTTTTGTTTTTTCCTAAAATATAGAACCATCATAATATTATTTAGTCAGAAGGGACCTTTAGGATAATCCAGTCCACCTTCCAGTTGACCAAGTTGCTCAAAGTCACATTCAGCCTGGCCTTAAACACCAACAGGTATGGGGCAGCCACAGCATCTCTGGGCAGCCTGTGCCAGTGTTTAAATGACAAATGCTGGCTTAAAACCAAAGACCATTCCCATTTGAATGGCTCAGTGGCCAGCAGGGCTTTATTCATACTGGAGGCAGCTTTACTTGGTGAGCAGACACACAACATCACACTCTTCCCAAAGCACCAGCTGGCAAAGATGAAGAGAATCTCCAAAATAATTCACACGGGGCCAAGCTGAGACTGATCCTGTCTCCAGTCCCTTACACCACACTGCTCCCAAGGATGGCACAAGATAATCACCAGCCCTGACCACACACTCAGGAGCTCTGCTGCTGTTGGCAGTACCCCATCAGCATAGAACTGGTGCTGAATGCAACCTTCAGAATTCTGACTCCTTTCCACCTCCATGATTCAATTAACGACCCAAGTGTTTGTTACAAAGTGTTATTTATTAGAATATTACATTGCACTTAAAAAATAAGTAAGGTCTGACCCTGTCATCTTGACGTACATGAAGGATGCAAGGCCAGACCTACAATAAATATAAATACTATGTACAGTTTATCTAAAATAAATATATAATTTAAAATGAAAAATATCTTGTTAAATAGCTGTTACCCTCCCCCCCTTTCTGCGGCGAAGGAAGCCCCGAGCTCGGTCTCCTCCCTTTCACAGCTTGTAACTCGGCACATACTGCAGCGGACCGAGAGCCGCCGGAGAGCCCCCGTGCCCCGGTCAGCACCGCTCCCGAGCCCGCTCCGGGAGTCCCGGAGGTGGCCGCGGAGCTGCCGCAGCGCCACCGCTGCCCGAGCAGCCCCGCCGGTGCCGTCCTGGTGCTCCAGCGAGCCCCCGGAGCGCCGCAGCCCCGTGCCGCTGGCGCCGCGGTCTCGCCTCTTCCAGGAGGTAGAAGTGCGTTCGTGCCGACCCCTGCAAAAGAGAGGCGGGCGAGCTCACACCGCGATCCTGGGCTGCTCTGCCTCAGAGCACTCCCTGCGTGCTGGGGTAGAGGTACCGACCCCCCCAGCCCGGCGGGAGAACCCTCGTGCCCACCCAAACCCCACTGGCCGCCCCCCGGGGCTGGAGCTGGGAGGATGGGTGCCAAGGTACCCCACCATGCTTCCCTTCCGGGGATCGCAGCACTTTTTCCCTCAGGCACACCCACACAGCAATCCCCAGGCTAAAGGGGACAGCGAGGAAAGCCTTGTGCCAAGTCGCCTTCCTGAAAATTCAGCTCCTATGAACAGCTCATATTCCCACCCCCGACACTGTGATGAACATGACAGAAATTCTCCAAAGGCATTACTTCATCCTCACAAAGAACAATGACTTTTTTTTTTTTTTTAAGAAGAGAAGTAGCTGTAATATATCTGACCACATCTAACGTCAGGATTTAGGTCAGATCAGGGAAGTTTGACAAATTTTCAACACCCAGCCCCACAGCCACCCCTGGGGCAGAGCACACACTCCAACCCAGCCAGAAGAACATGGCATGGGCTGGCAGCAAGAACCCCCTGTGCCAAGCTGATAGGCATTGCTTTGGTGCAAGTAATAAGTAGAGTGGGAATAAAAAGGAAAGGGGTTTTTTACACATGTATATAAATAGAGGCAATATCTAAGGAGGGGAAGTGACTCAGAGGGTCAGAGAGAGAGCAGAATGAGTGTGGGGGGGAAATCTAAACAAAACAGAAGCAGCTTCCCTACTACCAAACATCCTCAAAACATGGAACACCAGCACAGATCAGGGACTTGGGGTTAGAAAAAAGCACATAGGAATGACAGGGGTGCCTGGGGACAGGATTTCAGCAGAAAGGGGAGTAAAGAAGACTGGGGCCCCCCAGGGCAGCCCAGACTCTCAGCCAGCTGCTTCTCCAGATTCAGGCTGCCTTCAGCTCCTGCCTAGCTCTGGCACAAGATCCACACAGCAGTCCCAGCCACCACAAACAGCAGAGCCCCCAGATGTCCACCAGCCCCACTGCTGCCCCGTGCCCAGCCAGGGGCTCACCTTGCCAGCACCCAGCATCCTCAGTGATTCACAGTGATGCCCAGCTTGATTTTCTCTTCGTTTTCTACATCGTAGCCACCCCTCTTGTGACACCTGCGAGGCCAAGCAAAGGGATGCTCAGAGCACAGAAAAGCCCCTGTCACCCTCCTCTTGCACATGATCTTCCCAGGGACACAAATCAGGGAGCTCAGTCCCATCCCACTCACCTGAGCATCAGCAGGGCTGCGATGATGACGAGACACAGGGAGGACAGGACAACAGCAACGACGGCCAGGGCTGTGGTGTGGTCGTAGGCACTGGGTGGGTGCTCCACCGGCAGCAAGAGACCGTGGCAGCGCTCTCCATGATAGCCCGGCTGGCATCTGGGCAAGAAGGAAACTCATAAAGGTCAGTGGTGAGGAAGGACAGGAGGTCTTCGTGTTCCCCACACCCCATGGGAAGGCAATGCCTCTGTGCCCAGCCTTAACCAGCACCCTGCCTGTTTCTCTCAGGCCCCACACACCTCAGCTGGGATGCCACCACCATCTCTATTGTACTGGTAAATTAAGATTCCCCTGCACCTAGTGAAGGCTCCTAGAAAGGTTGAGCTCTCCACCAGTGGAAGGCACTGGGGTCTGTGCTCTTCCCAGTCACCCCCAGGCAGGTTGCCCAGACCACCTGTGGAAGTGGGAAGGGAGCAGTGAGGCAGCTAGGCCGGCGTTTCCCATGGAGCAAGATGTCCCTGCACACCCTGCCAGCTCAGAGGTGTCCCATCCCTGGAGACTTGGGAGGCTGCTCATGCAACAGAAATAACGCTTCACACAGGCTGGGAGGCTTCCAGCCCTCCCTGAGCCACATTGCACTGATGCAACCAGATAAATATATCCCTCTATATCCAGCACCACTGACCCTCAGGCTGATCTCCAAGCCGAACTCAGCCCAGCTCCTGGGCTCACAATGTCCCATTGCCAGCATCACCTCCCAGGCACAGCAGCAAGGCTGGGCACACAGCAAAGGTGCAGGACCCAGTCCAGCAGCATCCTCATTCCACCCTGTGCCCCAGGAATCAACACTCAGGAAACCCTGTGACAGGGGCACAGCCAACCATCAAGAGCAGCCACAACCGAGTGACACCAGTCAACACAAAACCTCTTCAGCCAAGGAGACTGGGGCAGTTGGCCACTGTTACTAAAAACTCTGATGGCTCTGAGAGATGCCACTCAGGGACAGACCAACCACGCTGAAGAGACACAGCCAGACCCCAAATCCCTGCTGCCTGTGTCCCAGTTTCTCTCCAAGCCCCAGGGATGTGGGCAGGGGACACCTGGCTGTCCCAGGCCTAGGCCAGGGTGTTACAGTCCACACTGTGCTAGGTCACCAACCCAAACTGAGCCTGCAAAGATGTCCCCTCACTGACCGCCCTGAGTCCCCTGTGCAAGGGCCCAACTTCATGACAGCTTCAACAGGGAGAAACCAGAGAGTTAGAGGAGCTCTGTGGAGCTTGATCCCTGCAGATTGCAGATCCTGTGGGCACCATAAGCCAAGGAGCTATTATCTTCCCTGGGCTCAAGGCTGGGTGGCTCAGAGGATTGATAGTGAAGAACAAAGCCTCTTACATATCTGCCAGCTCAAGTCCTGCCCACGTCAGTGGGGATCAAATATGCACCCCAGAGTATTTCCTGCAGCAGCAGTGCTGTATCCAGGCGCCCCAGCAGCAGGCAAACACTTTCTCCTTCACTTGCCTCATCTAGTCCCTGCTTGCTCTGCACCCCAGGGAGGGTGGGCAAGGAGGGTACATCAGGCCAAGGGACAGCTTGGGCATGGCTTTGGCAGCCTGTCCCCAAAGGTACTATCTCTACTCTGCTTTGCTGGTGGCATGGCAGAGATGCTCCCCACACCTGCACTGATGTGCCCTGATAGATGCAGGAGCCCCAAGGTCTCAGAGTGGGGGATTTACAGTGACAGGATCAGGATGAGCTTTCCCAAATCAGACCTGCAGAAGCCCTCAGCTGCCAGACCCCAGCCCTACACACAATTCTGCAGTTCCCAGCACAGCCAGAGTTCACCATGCTGGCAGGGAACCCTGGCTCTAAGGCCATGACAGGATTTGGGGAAGGGGTGGACACTTTTCAAGAATTACAAGGAAGAGGCTAAGTCAGAGTTGTCCCTGCATGGGTGGGGAACATGCACTAAAAATATCTCTGCTTTTCCTCTGCCCAGCCTGGAGAGTTGAAAGAACCATGACTAAAGCTTCCCCAACACAAGCACATGCCAGCAACTCACATGCAAGAGGGAGCTCCCAGCTCTCGGATGTACTTGCACTCGCCGTGAATACAGAAATCCTTGTACTTCCGCAGGCACGGGTCTCTCTTCTTCCCCAGGCCTTTGCCTTTTCTTCTTTTATTGCCGTTCCCTTTTTTCTTGGGAGTAACGAGGCCTTGAGGCTTTGACAGGAAGGCAACTGAAAAACAATTTGGGAAGGAGAGAACAGCAGTCAGATCAGCTCCACGTGCCAGCAGAAGGGAAGGCAAAGGCACATCCCAGGGCTGCCACAACTGCTCAGCCATGGCTCCCACAGCCCTTTGTGCTGGGAGCTGCCCCCGAGCCCGGGGTTGGGGGGAGGGCATTTTTTTCAGCTCCTCACAAATATCATGGCCTTTCCAATTCATAAGAACAATTCTCAAGGAAAGAAGGGAGTTGGGCAGGGGGAACAGAGCTTTATACATCTCAAATGCTGCTATTATATGCACCAGTTTCCACTGAATACAGAACACTGCTAATTGCCCCTTTATCTGGCCTTTATTTCCCTGACAAGCACAGGCTTTTCTAAGACCCTATTCATGGCTCTGATGCACTCTCCTTCCCGTGGGCACAAGGATGCCTTACTCACCCCAGGGCAGGATTAAAAGAGCAAGCCTGCCTTAGGTTTTGGTTTTGCAGAGCCCAAGAGATGGTGAGGGCATCATTCCCATCAATTACAACGGTATATTTTAATTGTGGTCCAGTAACCAGTGGCTTTTGGTGCCAGATCAGTCCCCTGCTGGGTTGGTGGAAACTAGAGCACCAAGCTTCTCACCCAAACATAGCTCAACACTAGCAACGGTACTGGAATGATTATTAAAGCATGCAGATGCCAAAAAAAA